TGGGGGGAGCAGCTTTTAAGAGCGAGTTTTTAATCTTCGCACATTTGGTGTTGGAAACATGACGGGAATTAAGCTTGATTCTGGCTTTAATTGGGGTAATTAGTGAAACCGAGGCCTTTCTCAACGCTCATCACAGTTCTCCGAATTGGAATGATGCGTACAGGTCAAATAAAAATTGCAAATCTATAAAAAACTGAGGGACTTTGTGCTGGTTATTGCACTGAGTTTATGGAGTCGGGTACTTCTGTGAAAATACTATTGCGGTTTTTGCCGGTAGGAATCAGAAAACTGAATAAAATGTTTGATGTTATTAAGAAACAAAAGCCCTTCCTGTGTACACCTGGGTTATTTCCTTGTCTCAAATGCTGTCCGCAGGTCTGCTCCTCCCACTTCCAATAAAAAAAGACAGTAAAACAAGAAAACGGTACCAAAACATTGCAAGGAACAAGAGGAGACTGAGTCTCTCCTTTAAAAAATTGTTCATTAAGGGAGGGGAAGGCAGCACAGGTCTATAAAATCTTCCCCTATAAATGGAAGTCAGAAATGAAAACGCTTCCCTGTTTAATCGTGTTTCCCCTCTGTGAAGGCAGCGTTTTTGATGCAGAGTAAGAAGAAAGTGTAAAATACGTTCATTTTCCATGGCGTGAGTGAGCGCTGGGTGATATTTGCTGGTCATGGTTGGTTGCCTGCCGTGTGATGGGACCTCGCTGCGCCCGTGCGACTCTGGTGGTTCCCCCGGAACAACTTTGTCCTCATTGATAAATATTTTATTATAAACGCTTCTGACATTTTCCTGGGTGATCTCTAATTAGGATCTTAAAGGCTTGAGGTTTGTCTTTTTATGAGGTAATCATCACTTTGTAGAATCCTGTTAAATGGCAGCGTGAAATGAGAGGGTTTATTTAATCGGTGTGGTGAACAGAAATCTCTCCTTACCTGTGGCCAGGGAAGAGCAGCAATGGTTCTGTTTTTATGCCCACTTTTGGGATTTACCAGTCGTCCTTTCTGATTATTTTGTGGAATAGATCTCGAAGAAACCTCCCCTGCTGTATTTAATACTCCTCTTTTCTCTTTCCAGGTTTCTTCATCGCCAGCAGCTACAGAACCTCCGAAACCCCATCCTAAAAAAGGTTTGTTTGAAGAAATGATTGTGCTTGTTGGGCAGGTTGATTTTAAGGTTTCTTTTATAGTGTGCGCAGCTGTCTAGTAAGAAATAAATGCACACTGGGGAAAGGCAAAACTACTCAGCTGCTTACACTCCAGATAGAAGTACATCTTGAAGGTCTATGTGATCCTGAACTCAGCGCTGTTGCTGGCTGATTTGTTGTACCTACAGCCTGCATCACGTTTGCTTGTAATCTGAGAGACTTTATTTTATTGTGTACATATCTGTGGGGCTGCTAATGAGTTTGATACTCGTTTATCTTCCTAAATAATGAGAGGTTTGTTTGTTTTGAGCGCTTCAGCACAACAGCTGGCTGTAGAAATGATCTTGGGAAACCAATGTCGTGCCTCATTGATTTTTCATGTCACGTTTTTCTAAGTTTTCAAGTAAAAGGGCTGTGCACGTGAGATCACACTGGCCAGGTTGTAACTGGGTTTAATTATTGTTTGTTTGGGTTTGCGTTGGTTTTTTCATACTGAAAGTGAGACTTAATTAACTCGGTCTGAGCTGTTGTTTTGAAATTGGTGATAATGCTGGCGTTAAAAGGGAGCTTGTTTGGCAACTGGGTGCTGCGTCGTAGTTTCTGCCTAAAGGTGAAGCTCATCATCTTGGATGTGAGCCCTGGGAAGCTGGAAAAGCCACTTTACTTTTACGTTTTGGGAGGTCAGGCAAGCGTCACACAGTCCCGATTGCCAGCAGCGCGATCCCAGCCCTTGAGCACAATGTGGCTGTCCTGGAGGCAGTGCTTGATGTTTCAGTCGACCTAAAGCTCTTGGCTTGCACAAGTCCAAGCCTGGAGCTGAGAGGAAATGATTGCTACTGCTTCAGACCTGTCTGCGAGTGAAAATAAAACCCAGGTTTGCTTTTATAATCTCCATCCTTTTCAGTAAAGGTTATGACTCAGATCTCCTCATCCTCGGTAACCCCTACCACGTTCTGCCTCCTCGTGTGACCCGTCGCCTCCTGCTGCCCATGTGGCTTGGGAGGCTGCATCTTCTCTCTTGTTTTTACAGATTGGGGTACGCTTGCAGTTCTCTAAATAAAACATCTGTGGAGGGATGGGGCTGATGGTGTTTGTCAAGACACAGGTTGTCACTCC